TGCCTGAAATAGCCTCAGCGAGGGAAGCAGCACCAGGATCACTTATTTCGTTACCTCTCAGGTTCAAAATTGTCAAAGTGGTATTGGCTCTAAGACCTACAGAGAGGAACTTAGCACCATCGTGACCAATGTTATTAAAACTCAAGTTTAAATTGGTTATAGCTGAGTTGTCTGAGAGGGACTTAGACAAGGACTCGGCACCGGAGTCACGAATTACAAACTCGCATAGATTTAAGGTTGTCAGGGTGGTATTGCCTGACAGATTTTCAAGGATAAGATTCAAATGACGAGACTTCTTCAAAGATGAAGGTACGATTTCAAAGTGAGACCCAAATTCACGCAGCAACAGGGGCTGGAGGCTTTTCTTGTACTTGGCACATTCCCTTATGAAAGAACATGCCGACTCCACTCTTCTATTGACTTCTTTGAATCCATCACAAGAAGTATCGAGGCTTAGCGAGTTGGCATGTTCAGTTATATCACGCAAAAGATGTATTGCGCTCTCCTCAGACTTTGAGACTATAATCCCACCCATGAAAAGGAAAACATGCCTCAATTCACGCAAAAATCTTGCGTCAGTTACATCAATTTCCAAATCATTGTCTCCAGCTACAACTTTTGAAGCAAGGTAGAAACCGGCGAAAAATTCTTGAAAACTTTTGTGCAGAAATCCATAGCGGAAGCAACGCTTGCGTCTGCTACCTCCAGTCTGGAGAGAAAGAAACCCAAGCTCGGTTATAACATTTGTATTGCTTCCAGTAACTGCACTGCCGTCAATATATGGCTCGTCTTTAAGAAGTGATGTCAACGCCAGCTTCCCCAAGCACAAAAGATCTTCTTCGTAAACTTGCATTAAATCCTCACTTTCGTAGGGACTTGGAGATCCTTTCTTTCCTTTATATCTCCTCAAAACACAATGCGTAACACTGCGTAATTTCAATGTACAGTTTTGCCTTGCTGGTTGGAAAATCTTCCCTAAAATCCTCACACAGAATGCAAAGCAAAGTTGTGTTAAGAGGATTAGATATCAGTTTGCGCAAATCTGATCTTGACCGAATCTCTGTGAGAAGTCTCTCAGTCAGGTTTTTGTTCTTGCCAAAGTACTTGCGAATGAAACTTTTTGCGTCCTTTTTGGCGAATCCTACTATCTCCCACAGAGTATCACAAAGACGCCTAACTTCCTTACCAGACTCATGTCTAGATGTGAAAAGAACAAGGCAATTTGGAAGCAGTTTACTTTGAGCGAGACTTACGAACAATTTTTGTTTGCTTTGGTCTGCTTCATCCAAGCCATCGAGCACCAACAAAACCTTGGACTGGTTTTCAAGAATAAACTTTTTAAAGTTTGACTTCGATTCTTCATCCATTTCATGGGGAAGAAGTTGGTCTCTGATGGCTTCCCAAATGTCAGACTTGATATCTTGACATCTTAGCAGTAGCAGCAGATCAATTATTGGAAATGACTCGTCCCAGTTTTCTTGAGTAGTTGCCCAGTCATATGCCAGCTTTTGACAATATGTTGTTTTACCCATACCTGGGTCCCCTTCAATAAAAACGGTTCGTGGCTTTTCGCATTCTTCATGTGGTTTGAGGACAGCTGTCATGTTGAAGATCTCGTTTTTCATTTCTCCTCTGGTTTTATCTTTTCCTACAATTC